GGGGGGATGCTCGCGGTCGCTCGGGGGAGAGGGGGGGGGCCCAAGGGGGGGAGGGCTCGAGGCCCGCCGAGCGTGGCCAGAGGATCGAGGTGCCGGCACAGGGGCTCGACCTATGGACGGTGCTGTTTTGTCGATCTCGTGGGCCGTGTTCGCTTCGATGCCGTTCTGCGGTATGTACGAACAAACACCAAAAAACAAAACAAGAACACAAAAAACAAAAAAAACAAAAACAACACACAAAAAACACACGCACACACACACACACACACACACACGCACACACACACACGCGGAACGGAAGCAAAACAAGGGAAAGCGAAAACAAAACGAGACGAGAACCAGTGTTTACAGTCAACCCATATCATAAGGATGCTCGGTAAGGATGCAAGGGCCTGGGAAGCCCATTTCGAAGCTTTTCGAGCGGGGCGCGGCCAACGAAAGTGGTCAAGGATGGACCGAGGAAGCAAGGATGCAAGGGTTCCCTTGGGAAGGTTGCCCATCCTTACTATGCGGGTTGACTGTAGGTCGAGCACTGGTCTGCACGGTATTGGTCTTGCCCTCTGGGGGACTCGAGGGGGTGCGGAAGGAGGGGAGAGAAAGCGAAGCGAAGCGAAGCGAAGCGAAGCGCGCAGATCCGCGGGAGCGGGACCCTTGAGGGTCAGCGCCAGGGGAGGGCGGGAGAGAGGGGTGGGGGAACAGTCCGAGGCTCAGCGATCGAGGTTCGAGAGTCGAAATTTGGAAACGTGTTCGGTCCTTCTGCCGTTCTGGACCGGGAACCTCCACAGAACTCCAGGGCACCCCAGTGGCCTCTGGAGATCTCCGAGGGGGGAAGGGGCAAAGAACCTTCGAGGAAGGAGGCTCGAGGTTTCGGACGTCTTGCGCCCCTTCGGGGCCTCCAAAGACCTCGTCGCTACGGCCAGACGAGTCTGGCCGAAACGCACCCCAGGACTGGTCTGGGGGTCGATGACTGACCCCCAGGCCCAGGGAGAGAGGGAGAGAGAGAGAGAGAGAGAGGGAGCGAGAGAGAGCGCGAGAGAGGGAGCGAGAGACAGAGAGAGCGAGAGAGCGAGAGAGAGAGAGAACGGACAAGAAGTAAAACTAGAGAGGGTGGGAGAGAGAGAGAGAGAGGGAGAGCGAGAGAGAAAGAGAGAGGGAGAGCGAGAGAAAGAGAGCAGAGCTTGGGGAAAGAGAGAGCGCCTTCGACCCCCCCGTCGGCCCCGCTGCCCTCACCTCTCCCCTCTCGCCCCCGCTCTCTGCCTGCGTCCCCTCGCCGTGCCTCCCCCCCTTCGCCCCTCCTCCGCTCCACCCCCCCCTCCCTCCCCCTCCTGATTACCTACCAGACCACCCCAACCCAACCCGAAGACCCGAATTTCGGGTTGGGGGGGTATGGGCTCCATACGTGTTTTTTCGATGTTCCCAGACCCCCCCCCCCACTAGAAATCGAGGGTAAATCTGACCCTTCGGGTTGGGTTGGGGTGGTTTGGTGGGTGGTGACCTCCCCCTTGTCGCCCTGCTTGGCGGCGAGCGCGGGGGGAAAGCGAGAAGGGGCGGGCCTTCTCGGAAGTCTCGGAAGTCCCCCTGAGAGAAGTTTCCCGAGCCGTCCCCGAGAGGGCACAGAAAAACAGCTCGGAAGGAGCGACCACTTCTCAGAAGGAGCGAGGGGCTTCTGAGAAGTCCCGCCGCCTTCTGAGAAGGCTTCCTCCTTCTCGCTTCCCCTCCTCGCTCGCCGCCGACCTGCACTCGCCTCCCTTCCCTGCCGGTCCCTCTGCCAGGATGCCTCGGGCCGAGCGGAAGAAGAGCGCTCGCCACGGGCTCGCTCCCGGGGCTCTCAGGGCCCCCGCAGCCTGCAGAGCACCCGCTCGGAGCGTGCTGGCACTGCACTCTCTCTCTCTCTCTCTCTCTCTCTCCCTGTTAGAGGAGGGGAGGAGGAGGATCTTCTTCTCGGCGGCGAGCGAGGGGGCGAAGGGAGAAGGAGAAGGCCTTCTCAGGAGGCGGCGGGGCTTCTCAGAAGGCCTCCGGCCTTCCGGGAGGCCCCGTGCGTCTCTTCGGGGGAGGCCCAGGAAACTCCTCGCAAGGGGGCGGGGGGGGGGCGTCCGAGGCTTCTGAGAAGGCCCGCCGGTGCTCCCTCCCCCTCCTCGCTCGCCGCCGAAAGGAGGAGGCGTGGGGGGGGCCCCGATCGGGAATCTGCTGTTAGAGGCCTGGAAATTGGCACCAACACCAGCACAGGGGGGCTACCTCCACATGGGGAGAAATGGTCCTGGATTTCGGTGTGGGTGGTAATAGTTCGGTCCCCTTGGAAACCAAAATATGACCACCATCACCGAGATCGGGATCGTCTTCCATCGGTGGAGGCACACCGCGGATCTTGGCGTTGGTGTCAACCTCTAGGCCTGCGATGCTGACCCGGGTCAATCCAGACCTGGGTCACTCGGGCCTTGCAGGATCCTGCAGAATCCTGCAGGATCCTGCATCCAGACCCGGGTCAGTGCGACCCTGGCCCCGCAGGATCCTGCAGGATCCTGCGGGGTCCTGCACCCAAACCTGGGTCAATGCGACCCTGGCCCCTGCAGGATCCGGCACGATCCGGCGCCCTGGCTGACCTTCCTTTGCAGTGACCCCCGCCTCTTGAGCCCCGACCCGAGACGTGCGGTGACCTCTGGCGGGTGGACCAGAAGTGTCCTCACGTGCCTAGACAAGGCCTCGACTTATCAGAGCACGTCGGACCAGAATGTGTAGACCCCCCTTCCCCCAGATTCAAAGTTGACGGGCTTGGGCGGTGTGCCAAAGGCCAGGGACAAGATGTGGACACTTCAACTGTGGGGTTAGGGGGGGAGGGGTCCAAAGCAAGGAGGCATTTCGCAATTGTGGTTGTTGTCATGTTGCATCGCCCTACCGCCATGGGTGTGGACACTTTTTGTCCACGGCACCGCCAGAATTCCAAGAGACCTCACCGCACGGCCCGCCACCACACGGTCTTGGGGCCCTTAGAGGCCTCCTAGATGGGGTCGGAGCAGATGGGGTCGGAGGGACGCGCCGCATCGCCGATGCATTGAACGCGCCGCATCGCCGATGCTGAAGGGGCCCCAGGACACACAAATAAATACACACAAGTAAAAATATTCCCCATATATTCCCATATTCTCTGGGTTTTTGTCCCATATTTTCCCATATTTTCTGGAAAATCTACGATTAATTGTGCCCGTGTGTTTCTTCCCCTCCTGAGATGCATCGGCGGTGCGGCGCGATCCTCCGACCCCGTCCGGGAGGCCTCGGAGCGAGCCCCGGGGGCCCCGACCGCCCGAGGCGCCCCCGGAGAACGGTCCGAGTCGTAAGTCGGGCGTGTGTCCCCCTACAGGGGGAGCTTGGGCCGGTCAAGGTCAAGGTCAAGGTCCCGTACGAGCACGAAGCCCGGCCCGATACCGGACGCGGAGTGAAACAATTACAACTCTCTGCTGCCGATGCATTCATGATTGGGCATGGAAAACAAGGAGGGGAGGAAGAGGGGGGGGAGTCAAACTGCAAATCTGTCCCACGTCGTTCGTCGGGGAGCTTGGGCGAAACATAAAAAAATACTCCAAAAATGCCCCCCCCCAAAGGGGCAAAAGCAGTCCAAAAACCGTCCCCGGGCTATTTAGTTCTTCACTGCTTTTGAGGACTCTTCCCCCTGTAGAGGGACAGGCCCGACTTCACCCGAGTCCCGGCAAAAACAGTCCCAGTCCAAAAACCGCCCTCAGGCTATGTCTTCACTGCTTTTGAGGAATATTCCCCCTGTAGAGGGACAGGCCCGACTTCACCCGAGTCCCACAGAACCGTGCCAGCGCGGTGACCCCGAAGATCCCCACCGACTCACCAAAACCACGGCGGGGTCCCCCCACGGCGTCTTCGGGGAGGCTCGGCTCCTGCCCGAGCCCCGTAGCCCCGTCCCGGGGGGGGAGGGGAAGGAGCGCGCCGAGGCTCGGGATCGGGGACTCACTGACCCGGGTCAATCCAGACCCAGGTCAGTCAGGCCTTTCAGAATCCTGCGAGATCCTGCAAGATCCTGCACCCAAGCCCGGGTCAGTGCTCAGGATCTGCAAGATCCTGCGAGATGCTGCACCCAAACCTGGGTCAATGCCGACCCTGGCCCTGCAGGATCCTGCAAGATCCGGCGCTCTGGCTGACCCCCGTTTGCGTGGACCCCCGTCTCGAGGCTCCCGACGGGAGGGCGGCAGCAGCACGCCGGGGGCGGGAGCTGCAGCGGGTGCCGCAGCGGGGCGCAGCGGAAGGCGGGCAAGAGGCCAGGGGAGTGACGTGCCCGTCGGTCGGGAGAACTAGGCAGAACCACGAAGCAGGAGGGCGCGAAGTGCAGATTGGACTTCCGCCCGCCCCCATCAAGAGGAGGGAAGAGGGAGCACCCCTCGACCCTTAAAGCAAGAAGGCGCCTGAAGCAGATTGGCATCTGGATCCAAAAATACCTACTTTCAACGAGGCGTGTAAGGCTGGGTCCGTGTCGTGACGACTTCGGCGGCGCTGGTTCCCGACGCCGCGTGGATCGCTGTCTTGAACGAATCGCAGCTTCCCGAGGGTGGATATCGTTCGATATTGATATCAATCGATGCTGGGCCATTGGCGGCGTTCAGCCTTGAACGCCCGCGCTGGGTTAGCCGTCGCGCCGACACGACACGAACCTACACTAAGAAGAGGCGCAGGAGGCGGACGCGAAAGCGAAGACGGCGGCGGAGGCTGGGGCGAAATGGCGGAGGCGAGGAGGAACTGAGGAAGCGGAGGAGGGGCAGCGTCGTGAGTCACAGCCTGAAGCCGCGGCGGCGGCGGCGGTAGCAAAGGAGATGGGAAGAGATGGAGTGGAAGGGGGGCGAGGGAGAGGGGTGGGCTGGATGGGGAAGGAAAGAGGTGATCAAGACTGCAGATGTAGGGGGGACGCTGAAGGTGAGGTTGAGACTGGAGGTAAGGTGGAGGTGGAGTGCGAAGGGAGCACGCTGACAGCTTCGGGCCGACACTTTCGCAGACTCAATTCGGGCAAGGCCATCCCGAACCTGACAAGGTCTAGGCTGACACGGTGCGCGCCGTCCAATGCAAAAGCAATCCGTCCTATCCCTGTGCTGGAAGAAGGAAAAACTGCACAAACAAAAACTGCCGGAACTCCGCGCTGGGTTCTTGGATCGGCGCCGGAGACCTCCCTCCTGGCGCACGGCCAGGGGGGTCCTGCGCCGAGCCAAGAGAACATCTGCGCGGAACTCCGAAAGCGTCTGCTTGTGCTGCTGTGTCTTCTCCGATGTGCCTGCAAGACAGCGTCACAAAAACCGTCGTGGCACAAATCCGCCACCGTGCCCCCTGGCACGCTGAGGCGCGCCAGAATGCCAAAACGGCCCCCAAAACGGCCCCCAAAACGGCCACAACACTGCCTCCAAGAGGCCCCCGAGAGGCCTCCCACGAGACTCCAGCGAACATCAACCCAGGCTCACAACCCTCAACCCAGACACTGCCTCCAGGAGGCCCCCGAGAGGTCTCTCACGAGATTCCAACGAACACCAACCCGTAGGAGCCAACCAACACCTCCTTCCCCTCCTCCTCCTCCTCATCCTCCTCCTTCCTCCTCCCTCCTCCTCCCCCTCCTCCTCCTCATCCTCCTCCTCATCCTCCCCCTCCTCCTCCTCCTCCTCCTCCTCTCCTCCTCCTCCTCCTCCTCCTCCTCCCTCCCTCCTCCCCCTCCTCCTCCTCCTCCTCCTCCTCCTCCTCCTCCTCCTCCTCCTCCTCCTCCTCCTCCTCCTCCTCCTCCTCCTCCTCCTCCTCCTGCACGGCGGCGGGACCCGCCGTAGGCAGCCGGATTAATACACGTGCCTCGGCTCGGCACCCTCAGGGGTGCAGCGCGTCAAGCCCGAGGGCCAGCAGCGCGAGCAGGAGCGCTGAGCCCTCCCCATCCGCTCGGGCCCGCCAAGGTCGACGATCCTCGGGACGTGTGTTAACGCTAACGAGCGGTTGTCCATCGAGGCCCCTCAATACCGCGTCGGCGGCGCAACGGGGGCCAACACAGGCCGCGCGCTCTCGGCGGACCCGAACGAGGCACACACGCGCTTGGGCCAACACGCGTCCTGAGGGTCATCGACGAGGCCCCACTTCAGATGCGGACACGGCAGGTCTGTGTCGTGACGACTTCGGCGTTGGTCTCTGACGCTGCGTGGAGCGTTCAGCCTTGGACGATCGACGGCTCTGCGATCGCCGCATCGTTCCGTGCTGGTCGCCTCTGTCCGCTGGCGGCGTTTCGCCTTGGACGCCCGCGCGGGGGGTCGCCGCCGCGTCGACACGACACACAATTACCCGAGGACGTGTGGCAGCACACACACACACACACACACGTTCACACACACACACACACACACGGCACTGCTTCCTTCTTCCTTCTCCACGGGCTGGTCTAGTGCGAATGATTTCTGGAAGCACGACCATCTTCCAGCCAATGTCAAGCCCACGGTGGCAGTGAAGAGTGACACCCTGAAGTGGACGACGAAGCTTCGTGCACAGGTGGAGGGAAGGAAGAAGGCCTGAAGCCAGCGATTACGCGGGAGGTGCGTAGGTGAGTAGGAGGTGAGGGAGTTGTTTTGACATCCACAATTAGAAAGTCCAGAGGACCGTCTTCGCTGGGCGAATGGGGTGCATCCCACCAGCCCCCTGAAGGTAGGATGGTT